CAAAAAAGAACTCACAATATTTTTCTTGGAATCAGGATCAAATCTCTCCAGAATCATTTTTGCATTTTTATATGTTTCAGTTTCCATAACTTCTTCAAGCTGGGGAAAAAAATGCAAAAACATTAAGGAATAAACTTAAATTATCTTTTAATTTATTGCCTGAAAGTATTTATCACTGTTAACATATTAGAGTAATCATTTGCTGATCATGTGTGTCATAAACTGGCATTTATAAATACACACAAATATCTTAGAATCACCTTCAATAACATCGCATGTCAAAGTGACTGAGAAAAGAGCCCTTAAAGCAACTTCACTACATTGTACATCTTCATTTAGAGTAAGTACAGAACATTTCTTAATGTTTACATATAATATGAGGAATAATTACATTCACTACTTCGATAATGGAGAGTGTGAAAATCCATCAGCCCTAATTATTGAAAGTTATTAGACTTGACAGAGGATGACAAGCAATTTCTCAGATTTATTTCTTTCCTGTAGTAAATGCAATTAATTAAAGTGACATTAGAAGAGTAGTTTACTGGATCAAGGTTTTGTACCAATCAAATGTTGTCTTCACAGAGCTTAGAGTATCTTACAGCAAATTGCTGAGAAGATAACCAAAACTAATTTTATAAGGCATTAAATGTCAATCCTGACTTTACGAGTGGACCGTTAAGAATCAAAATTACAATTTTTTTTTAAGTGGACTTCAGGCTACAAGTAAAAAAAATGCCAAACTATATTTAACTCATTTATTGTTTATGTCATATCAAGGATGTAGCAGCACAGGACAAGACCAACTGAGCTTTTCTATTCAATTTCAACTCATATATTCATAGCAGACTTAAGTTTCTTAACACTGACAAATACACCCATCAACCACTTTACAAACTTGTTCAGCTGCTCTTTAACACAAGTATCTAATCAGCTAATCACATGGCAACACCCCAGTTTATTTAGCCATGTAGATATGAAAACCCGCTACATTTCAAACTGACCATTAAAATGAGGAAGAAAAGGGACTTTGAATGCAACATGGTTGTTAGTGCCAGAGGGGCTGGTCTGAGTATGTCAGAAACTGCTGATGTATTGAAATTTTCCCATGCAATCACCTCTAGGATTTACACCGCAGCGAATGATTTAAAAAAAAAAAAAAGAGTAAAGGCCCAAGTTCAAATCATCTCCACAGTCACCAGATTTCAATTCAATGGAGTATCTTTGGGAATTGGCTGGAACAAGAGATCACGGTTCTGCAGCCAACAAATCTGCAGTGTGTGATGTTATCATATAAAAATGAATATAAATCTCTGAGCACCTTGTTGAATCTGTGCCATGAAGAAATGGGGTAGTTGGAAAAGCAAAAGAGGGTCCAAACCAGTACTAACAAGATGCACCTAATGAAATGGTTGGTGGGTAAACACTAAGTGTAAAGAATGTAAAAGCCATTTCACTTATAGTTAAAACTCTAAACCACTGCAAAGATTAGAGTTACCAATATAAATCACCATCCCCTAAACAGAAAAAAATAAAACACTAACAACAAATAATTGATCACAGATTTTTGTGGCTTTCAATGAAAAAGCCTTTGAAATCTTATATTACACACTTAGTTAGAGTCACAATTTACGTAACTGATTGCTGACACTTTTGTTAGATTTTTGGAATGTCGCCCGTTTAAAAGATGTTATTAACTTTGGCTGAATACATACAATCTTAGAGGCTTTATAACTACTTGAAACAATCAAACACAAAAAGCAAATATAAAAATTAATCATCTTCAAAGCACAGGGAGCCTTGTAATAGATGGTGTAGCACAGGTTCTCTATTGTGCCAAGGCCATCTTCAAAAGCTCCCGAAGAAAAAAGGTCATATTCAACCTCGCAAAACTTTTTATGAATCATCGACATTATGACAGAATTCATGTTCAATTTGAGTCAAATAAGATTTAGCACAACAGCATCAGTAAACATAAATCATATCAGGCAAACTTATAATTTTCACTTCATAATTTTCTTCCCAGGCATCCAACAGTGTCTCAATTCTGCACAGCACTGCACATAAAAGTATTTCTGTATTATAAATAAAAAACATCACTTACTATTTTCCTCTTTTCTGCTTTAAGATCCTCTAACTTTTCATCTGGAAAAAAAAAAAAACGTTAGGAAATCCAACATCTGTTTAAACATAAATTTATAAGAAAAAAAAAACAAAAACTTGCACAACAGAGGAAAAAAAAAACTTACTATTTTTTTCAGTTCTTCGGGAAAAAACCTTTATCAGCAATTTTCGAAGTAACCACACTCTAAACAGAAGAGAAAAAACAGCCATCTCAATAAATCACAATTACAGTTTAGTAAAAATATGATAGATTATCTCTTATACTTACAATAACGGAACTATTAGAAAGGGAAGAGACAATATGAGCCGTCCCATTAACTGTTCGGGCAGATACCACAAATACACAACTACACAAGTGATCAAGTAGAGAAGCGACGAGTAGAGAAGCAGTCGTCCAACCCATATCTTCAGCTGCCTTTGATTTTTCTCACTATATTCTTCAAGAACCTGTATGTTCTGTGGAGAAAAATGGAAGGATCATGAAAGGATCAATAATAAAAATAAAAAAAAAAAAAAAAAAAAAACTGGAGTTTGAACTTACATTTTATATTCAAACTTCTATTAACATATTTATAAAAATAACCATTAATGTTTTGAACATATTTTAACCTCAGTCTCATGTAATGCAGGTCATTCAAACGCAGTTTATATATTTATCAGGAAAATTATTAATATTTTGTTAACACCATTTCACCTATTTTGGATCATTACTAAAACTGGTTTTCTACATGCCATCAAGTTTAAGTTTCAAGCTTTATTTGTCACATACAGATAACATTGGCAATGAATTTCTTAGGCTCAGAGCCCCCTCAATGTTGTACGCAAACTGCTGTTTTTACAACTTTTTACAGAGATGGATGTGAAGAAAAAAAAAACAAACTGTTGCTATTTGTGTGGTAATGTTATGACAATACAAGGACACTGTAAAGTCCACTTGTGTCCCAAGAAGAAAGTCATTGTAAATCAGTATCAAGTTATTCTGAGTTGTTGTGGGTTTTTTTTTGAAGTGGGGTTTCATTTACACAAAACATACATTTTGGTTTATCGTCAGCCAGAAATAACAGCATAAAGCTCACTCTTCAGTTAGCTCATGTAACAGACTCACTGACTAGAATCCCCTCAAAGGCCCACTATGAGCCAGCTATGGCCTTGATTATATATTAACTAGTTCACAACCCAATTTAACATGCACTGAACATTTGGAACCAAGCCCCATCGCCACCATACCAAATACATCTTTTGGAAAACTTGTGCCAAGTTTCCTAGCCTTTTAGAATCAATGCAAATGCACACTGACTCTGTCTCTCTATGGTCTGTTTTTTTTTGTTTCCCTCACACCCCAACCAGTAGACAGATTGCCTCCCTGAGTCTGGTTTATCCTGTTAAAAGGTAGTCTTTTTCTTTTTGTTCTCTCCACTGCAGCTAAGTGCTTGCTCACAAGTGATCACTGCATTTCTGCCTTTATAGTGATAAAATAAAAGACCTCAAATGCCCTTTTGGTTTGGTCTAATATAAATAAAATTGTGTTGAAAATTTCACAACAGGCTTTTCCATTACGACTTGGGAATGATCCTGCATTATCTTAATTTAATTTAATAAAAAGGTAATATAAATGCAGTAAGATGCTGTGGAAAAACAGCTAGATGCAATCTTGCAGTGGGGAACCGTTAGGGTTATAAATACTGGAACAGTTTTATTTTTCTTAGATGCAAACTTTAAGTGCAGAATTTCATCCAACATTCAGCATTTGCATCACTCCCTTTACGATATTTCTCTCACTACATTTTAGCAAATAACTTAAACTCACCAGACTAAAGAGATGTGTAATCTAACATAGGGATTAACTGGAAATTAATCATTTGGTCAGAACATGGGTTTTCTCTCACCTCAACCATTATTACTTCACACATAAACAGGTACTTTATGCTTTTTTAAACTGAAATGTTACACCACTGCTTCAGGCTGCTGACTACATATTCTAAAAATAGCTACTGGACAAAAATGGGACCACTCTTGGCCACTATGGTTGCACTGTAACATGTGTGTGTGTCACTCTAAGCACGAGCTGGTCTCACATTTAACCTTACAGTGGTCTGTTTGTGTTTGCGAGTGTGCTGTGTGCTATAAGTCACACACACACACACACACACGCGCGCTCACAACATATATATATATTCTTTCACAGGTGAAGAATTGAAGCTAAACAAAAAGCAGCAACACCCATTGCATTGCAACTTCAATGTCATTGATGTCTTTGTGACAGGAAGATGTCATCATTTCCGTGCTCCAAGGACGGGATCTTTAAATAGTCTGACACTGGCTGCAATGTAGAAGAGCAGTAAAGCTCTATCACTTAGCAAATAAGGAGTTGCTATGGCAGTCACTGAAGGTCGGTGCTTATACAACACATTTAAGTCATTTTTTTCTGCATCAAAAACTGGCTTGATTGAGCATAAAAACCAATTGTGCAATAACCAATATTTATCATAGATTTGCATTAATTAAAGACAGGAAGTTCATATTGTAGCTTGAAAGGGTTTTTGTTTTGTTTTTTAAATAGGTTAAGCATACCTTGTCAATTCCTTCCAAAATCTCCACAGTGGATGGTTTCGCCTATAAGACAAACAGTTTGAATAAGAGGTATTGTACAATAACAATTTCCAAAACAATAGCACTCTTTGTGAGGAACTTTAAAAAAAAAAAAAGAGAAAGAGAGAGAGAAAAAAAAAAGATCTGGAAACTTCCTTTTTCTTCTTCCTACTTTTGTACGTGCATTATGTGTGTTCTTCTATTCCTAACAGGCTACCCTGATCATGCAAATGTGCATTATGTCATGCCAACTAGAATACAGATGTACTGTTTAGAAATACAAAATGTATGTAAATCTATCCAACCATGAGCTCATTGCTTGTGTATTACGTTTGGTGTGGTAGAAACGGTGCCTGTTAAAGTCATGCTTCCAAAGAGTTTACTGAAAATGATTCAAAACTATCAAAAAGCAGAAGTAACACTAACTGCACTGTAATTTGTTTCACATGACATGGTTAATAAAGGTTTGAATACAAACCCTCCACCGTGAGACCGCAGCCCCCATGTTGATGAAGAGGAAGGAGTGTAGGTTACTCTGTTACTGGGACCCTCCTCTGATGCCGTTTCACAAATTATCTGTCCACCTGTTGACAGCAGTAATGAGTTGTGAATACACACTCGGTTGCCAATGCATTAGGTACATTGTGCTACAACTGCCGCAGTATAATACAGCATTTCCGAAGCAAATCCAGCAGTTTTAATAATACTTTTTCTGTGAGGCTCATTTGTAGTTAAACTGTAGAGCTATAAAGCATGTATTTCTGTATATGTACGTGCAACAGCAGCTCCAAACAATCACAGAGGAGCGTTCACAGCTTCAGCGGCTCGCTAACAGCTATAGGTACATGTTTTGACTGACGTTTAGAAAACATACACCAATCCTCTTAAGTCACCTGTAAAACACATTTAAACGCTTTTTATTAAACTTCATCAGTGACTAAGCTGAAGTAGGTTGTCCTTGCTAGCTCAAATTAGCAAACCTAAACAACTTTCCGGAGGTCAGTAAGAACCGAGCTGACGTTAATAGTTATCTCACAGGTTTTTTATATCGCTTTTTTCAGCCAACATGTACTAAATAGCCTATAATAAATGAATGCACATATACATTAGCTTTGAGGTGTTGCAGCTAAGTTTGTGTAATCGCTAGCTTGCAGGGCTAACACTACTGCGCCCTGTAGTTCACCGAGATAACTAAAGCAAGGTCGCCAAGTTTCGCCAGAGTTTGTACACACAAGCGAGGCCAAATTATAGAAGTGCTAAGTGAATGAATAACAGCTCCGTGTTTTGACAGAGACTGGTGTACTTACCTTGAAAGTTGTGTTGTCCTGTTTCAACAGCCTGTGGCAGTCGCTCCTGTCTTTGCACGGAGGGTGTGTGAGCCAAGATGGGGGAGTGTCCACTCGAAGAGCCAGCATGGAGCATGAGCATACCGGGGCCTTCACGGGAGTTTGGTCTGTGGCTCATGAAGCCTGGTACAAAGTTGTGAGAAACTCAAACTAATTTTAATTTTAGACAAATATAACATGAGTTAATACAAAAATGAAGTTCTTAAATAATGATTTCATTTATTAACAGGTGGGGGAGGGGGTTAGGGTTAGTAAAATCTATCTGGTCTTATGGGAAAATGTAATTGCCCCCTAAACCTACACTAAGTGGTTGTTCCAGTCAAGTGTTTATGATAACTGGCAATGAGTCTTTCACATGGCTGTGGAGGAATTTTGGTTAACTATCTTTTGCATATTTTTTTTTTTTTTTTGTAATTCAGCCACATTACAGGGTTTTCAAACATCAACGACCTGTTTGAGGTCATGCCAAGCATCTCAATCTGACTTGAGTTAGGACTTCGACTAGGCCGCTCCAAACCCTTCATTTTGAGGCGGTTCAGATTATTGTCCTACTGCACAACCTTGGGATTCAGGACTTTTTTTCTTCAGGATTTTCTGGTGGAGAGCAGAAATGATGGTTCTGTCAATCACAGCAAGTTGTTTAGGTTCTGAAACAGCAAAGCAGCCCCAAACCATCACAAAACCATTACCATGCTTGATTGTTGGTGTGTTAGTTTTGGTCACATGTAACAGGGCATAAACTTTCCAGAAAGTTGAAGATTTGTCTCATCAGTCCACAGAATAATTTCTCTAAAGTCTTAGTCTTATGTTGGTCATCTGTGAATTCCTGGGAAGGTTCCCTGCTGCTCCAAGAATTCTTCATTTGTGGATAATAGTTCTCGCTGTGGTTCTGTGGAGTCCCAAGTCCTTAGAAATTGCTTTGTAATTACTTTTTCACATAGGACCAAGTAGGTTTAAATAAGTTTCCCCCTTAATAAATAACCATTTAAAAACTGTATTTTGTGTTTATTCTGGTTATCTTTTGCTAATATAAAAAATATGTTTTTTGTTGATCTGAGACATATAAGTGTGAGAAGATCAAGCAAAAAAAGAAATTAGGAAGGGGACAAATAGGTTTTTGTAGCACTGTACATTTTACTGTTACCCTTATAACTAAGCTATGTACACCCTGTAGACATATGCAAGAGAGAATTAATTCCCCCTCTAACAATTTCTTGATTTCAGTGACAGACTGAATGGTAAAAACTGAGCGTGTGATCCAGCAAAGGAAGTAACCCGTCTGACATGCACACGACATGAACATAATGCTGATATTGGATAGTGTATCGACATTAGTAGTACTTGCTGCTCAGTAATTGCAACGTTAAATACAAAATGGTTATTGTGCATGCACTGTTACATTTTTATGCCGTAAATATATATCTCCAGGTAAAACTGTCTGCCAAATTAATGTAATGTGCTAGTGGTTCTCATGCTATTATAAAGTACAGATTTTATAGTAGGTGTTAACAGTTTTTACAGTGTTTCACTGTGCAACAAAGGTTTTTTCAAATGCAAAGCAAGCATTATATTTATTTAGTTTGTGCAATATGTTCCCATATACCCTTCAACAAACATTACAAACTGCCAATAGCTGAAAATTCCCATGTTTATATTTTCATTTGTGGTTGCACATAAAATTACCAATATAGCTAACTTTAAAGCTGTGATATCCATTAGTGGGAATGTGAACACAGTATTAGCCTGAGGGTGCTCAATAAAAGCTAGAGTGGATGAAAACAAATGCCCATTATTTGCTGAAAACAAAGATGAAAAAGTGGAAATAATTAAAGAAAAAAAACATGTTCCAGTACTTCCAGTAAGTACATTATAAATTGCTTTGATGGCAGACACCATGCCGTTTCCGTTTAATTCATGAAAAAAAAAAAACTGCTTTGAAAATCATCTGTAATTCATTCACTGGGGGGAAAAGAGGTAAAA